CTGAATTAATTAAATAAATGCAAGGTGAGACCTTTGCTCTATTTGAATTAATACCGTCTAAAATATGCGTTATCTCTGAGATATCTGACGTTTAATGGACTACATCCGTTAGTCGAGAGCTTGTACCGATTGATGTGGGTCGGTCCGATTCTGATGGCTTTTGCAGATTTCTAAACCAAAACCATTTAATGCGAGGTTTCGAACTCGGAATTTTGACCATAAAACGTGTAGAGGTCAGTTTCCAGTACAGATAATTACCTTTTAGTTACTGCATTGTGATCAATTCACTTTGTTCTTTTGAAAGTTAATTAACACTAGTTTTGTGGCTGGTGCTTTAAACGGAACCCTAACTTAACACAAACCGTCACGTAAACAAACACAACGCATATGTTTGCATTTATAATGATATGGTTTTAAATGCTAATTATTCTGACTCCTGAAGAAACGGTTTAGGAAACATGACACGTTACGTTTACATGTAGATAAGCATGATTCATAAACTATTTTACTCTCTTATAAAGTAAAGCATATAACGAGTTATGCATATACAATATTTTGCATTTGCATTTATGCATGTTTGTAAACGGTTTTATAAAATTTGTATGGTGAACATTAAACGAGTGCAGTGGTGTATCAAGCACGTAATTATAATGGAAAAAAGGTGTAAATAAAGGGAAGCTTTTAGAGAACTTTACCGAATTATTTTGCACAGAGCAAACTTTTTAAAATATTTGAAACGTTTCCAGATTCTAATAAGATTTATTTCACTTAAATACAAGATTTCAATTTTTACGAAATTTGATTAAGGTTTAATCATTATGCAAATGCTTCTCTCTATAACATAACTAAATGAGAAAAATTTGTCATAATGAATATAAACAAAGAACTATAATTTATTGTCTTAAAGTAAATTAAATCAAAATGTATTTACCAAAATTTGTCATTTTGAAATTGTTGTTTTTATATCCTTTGTAATAATTGATCCACCCACATGTGTAGGAGGTTTGGAGTTTCGTCTTTAAACACGTGTAACTTTTTTTCGGTTCCGAGAGCAACATTTCCTTTCACGTCAACTTTCCGGTGGAAATAGTCACTCGCTTATCCCTAGCAAGTCGACTTGTTCCCCGTAGTACCTGAGTAGGGAAAGTTTGGTTTCCCTTGCGTTTAGTGCGTGCCCAACTAGATCTGATAGCTAATGCCATTCAAACTTTAACTCATATTTGAGTACTCTGGCTTTAGGCCAAATTAAGTTTGCCAGTCGTTTCGAATATCTCGTCGGTATGCCCAACTTTGCGACAAATGATTGAATTTGTGCCATGAATTGCCAACAAAGTGTTCATCGGAATTATTCGCGTATTCACGTCGACGAATGCCGCCTCAAAGCCGTAATTATTTTGATGTCAGTACCGGATATGACCAAAAATAGGGAGATTAATTAAAAAACGGAAAACACAGATTTTAGGAGATTTGGATGCTGTGCGCCACAGACAAGTTGATTACTTAATTACTGGAAATCCCAGTCCAACATTTTGTCATTAAACTTTTTTAGTTAGTTTTTGCAAACACCGGAAAAATTAATTTCTTATTGCAGGTAAAAGACCCATTTGTTTAAATGGTGCATTTGCTCCATCAACCACATTTGAACACATTTTTCTAATGGCTCTAACTGAAATTTTGACAATAATATTCGCACTGTGAAAACTGTTACTACAGCTATAAATTTTTCGCGTAATGTACACAGATGGCCACAAATGGCGAAACCGATGATGATAAAAATAAAAAATACAGTTCCGCTTTGGCATATTATTTTTAATAATTTTGCTTAGCCGATTATTCAGTCGCCAAAAGCTTTGCGTTTGCTAAAATTTAAATAAAAAAGGCCGGAAATTTTACTCAGATGATTTAAAATATCAATTGAATGCCTTTTTCCATTACCCATAAATTAGAATATTTCAGGTTTGGTCGATATTTCACTTTTTACATTAATTTTCATACTTATCTTGTAGCTTCTCCAAATAATTCGACGTCACTTTATTCTTCCGTAAACTGTCAGTTTATATTATCATTCGCAGTTAATTTAATTATTTCATCATGTTAATGCCCTAACTGGTTTAAATTTATCTCTACTTATTAGGGGTAAAAACTGAAACTCGCTTGTTTCGTTATTTTAGGAAAATGTCAAAAAGGATCGGCAATGTTTCATCAACACCTTTCCAATGACACTTAAAACGGAAATTGCTGATGTTACCCTCAATTTACTTCAAAGTAGGTCTTAGCCATTAAGATAATCTAAACGGGCAATAAAATCCCATAATTGGCTTTTTCGATGTAATCTAAATTTTTTCCGAGTCAATTGTAAGCTGTCAGACATTTTAATTTTCCATTAAGGCAACTGTCTTCACGCAACCCTTTCAGGAAGATTAAACGCCTTGGATTAATATTAAATTGGAGCATTTTTCATTCGCTTCCTTTTTTATTTTGCCATTTGTTGCTGAATTAAACTTGTCAGCAATTAAAATTTTAAATAGGAATCTACGCTATAAAGCGCCTTTTCTGAATTTTAATTACAAATATATACACAAATTAAAGTAAAAATTACTATGGTGCAAGAAATTTATTTTTAATCAAGCTTTAGCTCACTTGCTATTCCAAAGCTCAGACTCGAATGCAAATACATAGTCGAATTCGATTTTATTGCAGGCTTGCTTTCGATTTCGCGTCACGTTCACACTCTGAAGCTACTGAGTACGGATTTTACAAAGTCCGGACCTTGCGTAATTTTCAGAGTTTTTGTCAGAGCTTTTTAGAAACGTGTCTAATTTCAAATGGGTTTCTACTAGACGCAGAAGTAAATGGACAAACACAAAGAAAGCGTGGATTCGCTTAATGAAACAACAATGTTGGAGCAATTAAATTTATCGCCGCATTACGGGAAGTAACTACTTTCTTGCTCTAATTTTATTTCTCGAAGACAGCAACGTTATTGCAATTTATGCTGCACCAGCTGCCAAGGATGTATTTTTTTTATTGAAAACTATTTCCTATCGCTTGTTATTCATATTGCATGCAGTTGTAAAACAAAAGTCACAAAGCCGGTAGAGCCATAATTGTAACCAATATTCAAACTAATTAAGATAACAACGATCATGATACACGATTCCAAAATCCCAGGAGGCATAAAATCAAACAGGAGAAGTTTTACAATACTGTAGTTTCGTGTTTATGTGTAGAATATGTAGAAATATTTCACTAAAGTATATAGCTTAGTTATAAGTATATAACTGAAAGAAATTAAGACAAATGTACTGTCAAGAAATAAAAATTACTGATTGCTGTCAAGATACGTTTCCACACTTATCCATAATTCTCTATCCGTTTTAAAATCTTGCGTGACTTTAAAAATGGCTGTTATTAATTGCAGCTTGTAATATCATCGGCATTATAAATTGCATAAAATAGATGCCTGCCGCCCTCATTTGCTGTACAAAATAATAAATTGCTAAAAGCAATTTCAATAGCTATTTGTTTACAATAACAAACAACAATTACGTCCTAACTACAAGTTACCAAAATTAATCAAAATGTTTAGAGTCTTTCTACTTGCCTGGATACGTAAAACAATTACGTAAAATAATTAATTCAAACAACTGTTTACCACATTACTTGCCACAATATTGTTTATTTAGGTTAAATTCATATGTTTCCATCAACGTATAACCGAGCTATAAAGTGTGAAATTTAGGCGACGGTGATGGGAGGATATGTTTGGAAAGATTAGTCGTCGCCGATATAAAAGGAATTTAAAGTTTTCAAGAAGTTTTACTTTGACGATTTTTTCATTTATTTATTAGCACAGATGGCATTTTCTTATAGGTAAATTAACAAATTTTAAACATTTATTTTATTTGTATATTTTTAATTTTCAGTAAATGCCTAAGTACACATACCAAAGACGTCTTCATGATTAAATGTAAAAGGCGATTGATTTATTTTTACGGTTAAAAAAGCCATTTTAGTAAATTACATCCAAAGTGAATAGACCTGCAAATTTTTATTTAACTTTCTTGACCTTAATAGTATGTTTTAATAAAACCTATTGAAACACCTGAGTTAATAAATTATATCTAAAAATTCAAATGTATTCCAAACCTTATAATGTAATTAGAGGATGTATATAAATGAGTTTTAAATTAAGAAAAAGTTACTTTAAGACGTTTGCTGCAACTTAAGGATGTGTCAGAATTAAAAAATAAAATGAATTATTGCTAACCTTAAATAAAATGATAGGTAAAAGACAAGAGCAACATATTGTTTTTTTATAAAACCAATGTTATATTTAAACACAAATATAAAGAATTTCCAATATACATACTCTTATCTACGTTATACCCTCAAAAAATTAATTTAATGACAAAATAAATAAAAGCCTTACAAAATATAATCACAAAAATGTTTAATATAAACATATATTTGTGAAATACTCTGTATAATATATGTACAAATGAATAATACATTTATGTAATTCTGATTATTTTAAAAATTAAATTTTACAATCAATTGCATAAATAACCAAGTTTTAAAAATTCATTATTCTATTCATTTAATTATATTTTAATCACACTATTCCGCTTAGCATTTTGCATAAAAATGAAAACATCTATAGAATCGGCAACCGAGCACGAATTTCATATTCATAACCTAGCCACACCCCCCAATTTATATTTGAAATATGAATATTGTGTTTCACATTTACCTACATATACGTATTTTCTGCTCACAAATAAGTTTTGACAGGGTGCAATAAGACTTTAGTGTACACATATATTTCCATTTTTTTGAATTAAAAGCACTTACGAGTAACATTTTAAAAAAGAAATTTCCTGCTTTTTGAATTTGACAAAATTAAAGTGAAAGTGAATTTTTTTTTAAATTAAAAATTATATTATTATTATAAAAAAATGAGAAAGAGACAATTTAATCGAACACACTGTCCTACTTACCCAGTAATAACCGAGTGGAGCTTTGCAGTTGCAACAGCTGATATAAAGTGCACTCGCAAGCCCCTATACGCCGCTTTCAATAATCGGTAAATCAGTGATGAGAGCGTCGCGACGCGAGATGCAATCACACCGATACGTTGTCAATGACTACGGTATGAAGCGTCTCGGCGCTGGACCATAATGAAAGCTTCATGGAGCTTGCGCGAGCTTTGCAACAGTCATGGAGTAGAGGTGTGTGCGAGTATACTGATCATGACATATGCTTCGAGCACGAACTTACTTGTCGACTGTGTTTCATAACGTGTTATTTATCCTGCCATTATAAGTTGGAAGCTTTCATTTTTTATTCACAAAAGGAAAACTTGCTTTGCGTCGCGCATTAGAACCAATAAAAAGGAAAATTTTTCGATTCCAATTCAGAAAGAACGATTCATGCAAAATATTTTTGTATACCAGTTATGAAATGATTGCGAAATGCGTATGAGGTTTTTCCACGCAGAGAAGAAGCAAAACATACCGTTAATTAAATTGGGGAGTTTGCGACTCAAGAATAATGCTGCTAACGGACTTTTTCATAATAAGTTTGCAAGTGTTTACAAAAGACCGTAAAGCTGTCACGACTTTTAAGTTTGATATTTTAATTAAAAGCGCTTGTTATTTTTTCATACAGCATACGAATTTTTTAAGAAGTCTGCTATTTGCCTTGAAGAAAATTTTATTAATAATTTTTTATAATTTTTCATTTTATCAAGCAAAAACTAAATTTTTTCATCACAATAAATCATTTAGTTAAGCTGATATTTGAGCTAAATTTTCTCTATTTACCTACAAAATTGAGTTATCGTTACATATTCTCTTTAATTCACTATTTGTACTATTTGTCCAACAAAGATCAAACAATCTCCAAACGAACATTATTCGGTTTTACTTGGCCAATCTCTTGGTGATGACAATGTATAATTAGAATCAGCAACGTAATGAATCAATATTGAAGTTTACGGTTTAATGATCTCTCATCACGAGTCAGAAAATTATTAGTAGTCACTTGTGAAATTTTTAAGTTAATAAACGTAACAGAAATATTGCCTACACACATGCCTTACACAAATGTGTTTTCTGGGTACAAACAAGAATATTTGAATTTACTTTCTTAGGTATGACTTCATTTTTATTATGTCCCAAAAGTGAAGAATAACACTACGTGACCTAAATATTTGTTTTATCGAATTTTGCCTCTGGAATACCAAGAACACAACTACATGGAAAAGTAGCAACGGTTATCTAAACAATAAAATTTAAAATTAAACATTAATTTAATAACATTATAACATTTTGCATCCCTATTTTCAAACAAAGTTTTAAAATAAAACTGTTTCATTACTCAAAATCGTTTTTCTACGTAACATCGAATCTTTTAGTTCTTCCAGCAATACATTCAAGTTCTTGCACTGTTTTTCTTTCGTTTCTGTTATATGAGACAAAAGAAATTTCCATAAAATTTTGAAAAATCGTATTTTTATTTTTGTCTTTTATAATAATAATATTCAATAATGTCTAAAAACTTTATATATTGTATTGTACTCGTAAAAGCTCAGTTTATACATAAATTAATTATTATACAACAAAGTTTATAGGGTTCGATGTGCAATTAAGGAACCAACAAATTAACTTGTTTCCTACTTCAGCAGTTATTTTTGTCTTTTATAATAATAATATTCAATAATGTCTAAAAACTTTATATTGTATTATACTTGTAAAAGCTCAGTTTATACATAAATTAATTATTATACAACAAAATTTATAGGGTTTGATGTCTAATTAAGTAACCAAACAAAGTAACTTGTTTCCTATAACCGCAGTAAATAATAACTAATAACTTGCTGACATTTATTATTTAGTCAGTTGTTACAAATATTGAGAATAACTGTTGTAAAACCTGTGTTCATTAAAAAAAGTCAGAGTAAGCGAACGTATGTCGTATCGTATTAATAAGTAAATAAATGAATTAATGAAAGACATGCAAAATATTTGTCAAAGCACTTTTAAGTTTTGTTTAATAAACAAGACTTATAACGTAAATATTTGTTATAAAATATTTATACTATAGCCAAAATCTTAGTAAAAATGGTTTAAATTGTTCAGTTTGTTTTATCTGTGACTTATTAAATTAAAGAAGAAATTTAAGTTCCGAGTTGTTAGCGAATAAGTTACTTTATTTTAGTTTTGTAGTTTGCACAAAATATATTCGCGCTTCAGAAATTATAGAGTCGTATCTGAAATCTAAACATTTACAATTTTATAAAAGCTCGCAAAGTTTGCAAAGTTACACCAGATCCGGACAAAACCTTTCAAGCTGATTGTTGCTGTAATCACTTTAAAGGTGTATTATTTTATCCGGTTATAAATTTCATGAAAAATAATGTCAATGGAACCGCAAGAGGCAATCAAATCTCGAATTTTATTGAAACTTTTCAAGTTACTAAATGTGATTCAGTAAATACTTTTAAAATGAACACGTTAAAGTAAGTAGTAAAATAAAGAAATCAAATTAATCAAGTTACAGTTTCTAGAGTAGTTTGTTAATTTAGTAAAAGCATTCTACATATAACACTTGAAAGGAACGTAAAAAATTGAATCGAGACAAAGAGAAACAATAAAAAATATAAGTTTCTTAACTCGTAACTTGTGTTTTTCATAGTAAAAATGCGCTGGAATGTAAAACTTCCACTTTTTATGAGTGTTGGAAAAATCTGCTGAATTCACAGATCCGTTAAAAATCTGTGAAATTTAAAATGGTAGCACTAGATTTGATCGTCTCTAATCTATCAGAATAAATCACAGAACTCAATTTCGTGCAGCTTAGGACATGACATTAATCTGCGACCTTTTTAATAAATGCGGATCAAGTAAAAAAGCAAATAGAATTAATTTATTTGAAACGACGTCGAAGACCGTATCGCGTAATTCTGCGCTACTTTACTGCCGGTATATTCAAACACTAAAGAGTTCCTTCATGTCATGAATATTCCACTTTATTTGTATTAAAAGTGGGTGAAATAAGTTGGGAAAATTCGGTATCTGTTTGCTTAACGATTTGCATTGCTCCTAGTTGAATAGCAAGAGCGGTTTCATTTTGTTAATGGATGGAATGAAGAATGCTAGCCGATTTTATTTTTGGTAGTGGTTATCATTTGACGTTTGCGAAATCTCTTATCAGTGATTTACGCTGTGTTTGCCACTTTTGCTCCAATGTAAGCCTATTCAAATTAATTTCGGCTGAATGCGATCTTAATGAGCTTATTACCTACTTCTAAATTAATTTCTTTCACGGTTTGAGGTAGTTTCCATTAACTAATGAGAAAAAACACTAAATGCATGTGAATTTAATCAGAACGCATCTTTCGCCCTTTATCACATCACATAAAACAGTGTAAGCCTAATCATGTAAAACACAGTCTGTGTTTTTACTAAATTGTGGTTAATTGTTATAAAATTTGAAACGTTAATAATTATAAATAACAGTGAGATGTTTTTTAATGACTACTTTATTTTTCAAGTTTTCAATTTTCACTTTGCGGATAATAATGAGATTTGTAAATTTAAAGCATCTATTTAGGGTTTGTAACATTTCGATTGTCTTATCTAATTTAGGGCGGATAGTTTAGGATATATATCAAGTCTTAATTGGCAATATCACTTAGTAGATGGCGCATTTGATCCGCTAACGTGATAACCTGCAGTAACTCCGCCGATGCATGACATATAATGCCATTCGGATACATTCTCCGTGTCCTTCCGTAATTTCGTATGATTAACCAACCCAGATCAAGATAATTGATTGGAGGTTTCCAACCGCAAATTAAGATTAAACCCTATTGAAAATCGTCAATCGTCTCGAGGAATTGTTAAAAAACCTCACCCCTTCAATTAATACCCGCATCGCAATTTTAGGCACGTTTCGTCATAAAATTACTAACCCTCCCAATCGCCCCGAAAAAATACCCCAAAAGAGCACACCAACAAAGCCGAAAGCAATTCAGGCCCGACCAAATTCAGATATATGCGTTTTACAAATTAAACTGCGTACCTATGCCCCCTTGATAAAACAAATTACTCTCCAGTTTAACCTCTGAGTGTGGAAGAAATAAGGGCGATATTTGCCGGCAATTTCAAAACACTGCATCCCCATAAATAATGATCAGGATGGTGAGTTTATTTTTCGCGCGAGCTGCCGCCACGGCCCATATTTTTATATAGACTTTTTTATTCGCACTTTCAGAGAATTGTTACATGTGTGTTTGTCGAACTGCCGGATGGAAATAAGAGCACTATATGAAACAAGGAAAGAGAGTAAAAGGGCGCCAGGTCGCTGAAATTCTAACAATGAAAGAATAAAAAACACCCCAGATAGCTATGATGTTATTAAATTTCAAACACGAATTGAATGTGGAAAATAAGAAATGCTACAAAACTCACACTTTACCATACATAAAAAATAAATAAAAATAGAGTGAGTTAGAATAGAGTGTTCTATTTCTTTGCCACATACATATGTAGTCTGCTGTGAGGTGTTGTTATTCAGTGATTGCAAAATTGACAACGCATACAAATATTCATCAGTCAGAGACACGATCAAATATTGACACATCTGTATATTCCTAGAACAAACACACTAATTTAGTACGTAGTCAATGTTGCAGCAAATACTTTATCCCTGAGGGCATACAAAAAGAGAGAAAAACATTAAATGTGTCTTATTTCATATTTTTTGGTACAAAAAAAAGAATAATAATATGTCATTTGTAATCAGAAAATCAATTTTAATCAAAATACCTTGTATGTGAAAACTTGGAAAATAAGACATTTCAACTATTCATGATTTTAGGTTGAGAAGTGGTCACTTTCTTATCATTTGATATGTAATGTGACAGTTGCCAACCAGAAAACTGATAAGGAAGTGACCACTTCCCAATCTCAACTGTCATCATCTTTTTCAAAATTTTATAAATTCTTATTGGCTTTCTTTAAAAACGATGATTGTAAATAAAATAGTATACAGTGGTCATTGCTTCATCGTACCTCGGTCTATTGCTACTTAGGACGCTTCGCACCTTTTGGTAATAAAGCACTTCCCAC